AGAGAGAGAGAGAGAGAGAGAGAGAGAGAGAGAGAGAGAGAGAGATCTGGGAGACCGGAGCAACTCCAGCAGTGTGAGGCCAGCAGCCTATGGACTATGGGAGGTGTGGCAAGGTTTCTGGATTATCCTGAGTGAGATACTGTATGTGCATGTGCAGGCGTATGCGCCTGTCTGTCCAGCAGAGGGCTTCCTTTAGAGGGTTACCCCACTGCCACACAGAAAGATAATGATGAAGATTGTAACAATAATGACACTTAAAAAAATCAGACCTTTCTGCTGAATTGACAGGACATTTTTAGGCTCTCATGATGAAAACAGGGCCAAGCCTAGTGGTGCACCTGTAATCCCAGCACTCTGGGAAACTAAACCAGCAGGAGGACTGCAAGTTTGTGTACAGGCTGGGTGATTTAGCAAGACCTCATCTCAAAAACAAAGACCAAAAACTCAAAGAAGAAAACCCAGCAGAGGGGTTGGGGGCATAGCTCTGGGCACTAGGGAGGCCCTGGGATCAATTCCTAGTACCACAAAAAAGCCCGAACCAAAACCAGGAACCTGTCTACCACATTTGAGATAGAACAGTAGTATTTCATCAGTGAATTAAAGGCCTTGCATCCAAAATGCCTCTTAAGTATAACAAAACTTGTACATTTAAAAAAGAAAAAGAAAAAAAAAACCATAAAACTCCACTGGGGCTGCGTGTGGTGGCACATGTCTGTAATCCTAGAAATGAGGGAAGCTGAGGCAGGAGGACTGCAGACTGAAGCCCAGCATGGGCACCTTAGTGAGATCTTATCTCAAAATCCTTCAGTCTCCAGTGTGCAGACCCCCTCTGCACGTTTCACCTGACTCTGTGGCTGGTGGTTGAAAGCCAATCTTGTAATTTCTTTCTTTTTTTATGTATTTAGTACAGGGTCTGCAGGGTCTTACTACACAGATGGGACTCGTAGTGATCCCCCTGTCTTCAGTCTGCCAAGGGCTGGGATTACAGGTGTGCAACACCACATCCAGTCTCAATCATGGTATCTCAGCATGCCCCGGGGGTGGGGCTGGCACGCAGGCCCAGGGATTGAACCCCTGACCCCTGTGCCTGCTTGCAGGCGCTTTAATCCGCTGAACTATTTGGCCGGCCCTCCACCATAACCTTTCAAATCACCCTGTGGAGAGGCGCTGGAAAATAAGGTGATGGTTCCTAAAACAATAGCCTTTGATACAGTTTTGCCTGTTTGCACATACAGACCGAGCGATGCTCAGCAGACTCCCTCAGAGAGGTGGAACGTCCTTGTTGCACCTGAGCAAAGTGAAGGGAGCAGCTCTGTGAAGAGATGCTGCTGGAGGAGGGGCCAGAGGAGACGCAAGGCCTCTGTCTGCCTCTGTCCTCACTGGTGCGCTGGGCTGCAGGGTCTGCACACAGACTGGCTGTTCACACCCCACCCTGTCTCCTGGAGGGCCAGGGTTGTGCAACAATAATACGCCCCTTGGGACTCATAGTGCTAACGCTACATGAGTGAGTGAGTCAGCTCTCAGCACACACAGGCACCAACTGGCTAGGAAAGAATGGTAGAAGCCAGAAGCAATGGTGAATGCAAAGAGCCAGAGAAATACGCTACGAACACCTCAGCTGTATTAAATTCTCATAGTAGAATAAAGAGGCACAACTCCTGCTTCCACAGGGGTGCTCCCTGGAGAGCAAGGAACAAACGTCCGCTGGAATGAGCTCAGATCACATTGTCTGTTCCCACAGACCCGCTCACGGTCCCGGGCACAGAAGAACCTGCTCAGTAAATACTAGGTGGTGGCCGGGGGGTAGGTGGATGGGTAAAGAACGAACAGGCAAGCCGGACAGGGAAATCCTGTCTGCTAATTAGAACCACATTGCAACTGCACATCACTTTCCACCAATAATACTTGCTATTGTCTTCCTTCTAAATGATAGGCCAGATTTATCAAGAATGTTTTCCACATTAAAAAAAAAATCTCCAAAATGAAGGCTAACAGAAACGCTTCCCAAGAGAGCAGATGCAGGGATTTCTACCATCATGCTCAATGACGCACTGTTCTGAGGTGCCCTCGAATGCAGCATGAAGTAGCTTCGGGAGCCTTCCGTTGGCTTTCCCTGTGTTCGACTCCCGTTCATCCCTCCCAAGAACCACAGCGGGATCCCTGGAGATGCTGCTCTCTATTCAGTTTTGTTGGTATGATGTCTACCGACAGTTTCTTTGTCTCACTCAGTGGAACACGTCATGAATCACAGGTTACTAAATGAAATTACTACATTTGTGTAGGTGTACAATCACTGAGGGAACGGAGAACAAAAATATGATTCTCTGGGAACTTTGCTACGGGTAAAGATTCCTTTAAGTGGTTTTTGAAAAAGTCACAAAAAGAGATATGCAAGAATGTTGGGCTTGTGGCAAAAACTGGACGTCACGTATACATGGACGCAATCCCAAACTAATAGAATTATTACTTCTTATGCATTCGTTGTTTGACCGTAAACAAATGTACCCACACAGACCACCTCAGTGGTGGGTAAAACTCAACTATCAAGGTGATTCTGAGAAGCCAGCAGGCTGTATGTTTGAATCTCCATTTTATAGAACGAACTAAGGCTTTGAGAAGTTCTCAGACTTACAGTCCCACAAACAAGTATGAGCATGTGTACGTGGCAGGACTCCAGGCTCTCCTAAATTCTAGTGTTAGTTTATCATTTATCAGCATACTCCAGGCTTTTTTATTTTTTATTTTTTGGTACCAGGGATTCATGGATCAGGACTTTGCACTCGCCAGGCAGTGCATATGTCTCTGAGCTATGGTCCCCGGCCCTCCAGGCTTTTGAAGAACCTATGCTTTCCAAAAGTAAATGCCATGCACCGTACCTGGTTTATTTCCTGAGTGGCTGCTATTTTGTCCTGAAATAGTAGTGGAGAGGCGGCTGGGGGCAGTTTTCTTATCTTGCACTTTATAGCTCTCAGGCGCTATAAAATGAGACAAAAGAAAAAAGACGTATTTAGTTTCTTAGCATTTATGCAGAAAACATTCATCCACTCAAGATTTTCTGTTGATCTTTTTATCAGGTACAAGGCCAAATTTAGGAAATGAATGGGCGAAGCAGCTACAACCTCCATTTGCAAGAAGGGTACAGTTCAGGGAGGACACATCCCCCAACCAGTGACCTCAGCTCGCGGGACCAGCTCTGCGGTGGTGGCCTGTTCCAGTCTGTGAAGTGCACCCACTCGGGCTGCTCCAGTTACACAGAGCAGCCATGTGGAAACAAGAGGGGAAGCCTTTGCGCTGAGTCGCTACAAAACAGGAACTACAAAGCTCCAGTATACTCCGCAGGTCACAGAAAGGCAAGCAGGAGATATTTACTAGGATTTTGAAAAAGCTTTGAACCAAAGGAAAATGTATCCTAGGAAAGGAACAGAAGGCAACAATGACAGCACTTCTCTGGTTATATGATGTGCAGAGTCCTCCAGGTTTGGGTAAATGTATTTGCACACAAAATATTTTATGTAACATATATTCAGTGGCTTTTTTTTTTTTAATACTGGGGGATTGATGGAGAACATTCACTATGTCTCTACCTCTTAATTTTTTTTTTAAACAGGATCTTGCTAAGTTGACAGACTAGACTCAAACTTGTGATCCTTCTGCCTCAGCCTCTCAGAGGGTGGGGATAACACATTCATTCTGGCTTCAATCCGTGGTTTCTAATAGAACTTTGGCACTCTGAGGAGATTTAACCTTCCAGTTTCCCATTGGAACAAGGTTACACTGAGTTTGTGTGTGTGCGTGCATGTGTGCAGTGGGAAGGGCACAAATCAAGATGAATGAAGGAGGACAGGCCCTGAGGTGGGTCCAGGAGGTACTCAAAGGCGGGTCTTGCTCAGTCCACAGGTGCCCTCACTACTTGCCCAAACCTCCTGGTCAATGGTCACCATGGGTGGGGGATGCCCAGACTGGTCAGGTGTGGCCGACAGTCTCATGATGGTAGAGGCACTGCTCGAAAGACCAAAAATTCATCACAGTTACAACTTCTGCTGCTCACTGTGGTAAAGCCAGCTTTCCCTTTATTAAAAATTACTCATAAAGAAGTAGACGCTTAAGAAAGAAAGAAGCAGTGTGCCACTGGAAATTGATTATAGTTTTCTTATTTTATCATCACCTGTAGCTCAAGCTGGAAAGCTTGAGTTTTAATTAGCTCAGCTGTTTAGGAATAGTCTTATTCTTTCTAGGTAAGTGAAACAGAATTAGCTCCACTGCATGGTTTAGAATATATTTCAGATGTTTTCATTACTTTCTTGCCTGTGTGTACTCAACATCATTTAATTCTTCTCCAGTGAGTGATTCCTTGGTACCCCGGGTCCTGGCAACACATGTCAACCCTGACAGAGTATCACACAGCAACCAGACCATGAAGGACAAACAAGACCCCAACACATGTTCAGTAGGAGTCACTGATGTGAACAAGCCCCATTAAAAACTTTCCTCGTGTGTGTGTGTGTGTGTGTGTGTGTGTGTGTGTGTGTGAGGGGGTGGCTCTAATTTACTTTATTCTCCTGCAATTCAAAGGTCAAAAATAAATTTCAATTACCCTGGAGGTCTGGCTACTTGAATTTAACTATATTTGACTCAAACTTGAGCCACTCAAATTGCACATCAGACATCTGTCTGCCTGCCTGGAGGTTGGGAATTTGTTTCTAATCTGGGAAACCCCTTAAGTCATTCTCATAGCAAAATAAATTTAAAATCCATCTGAGGAAATTTTCCATTGTTGTAGGCAGCTAAAGTAGGTAGAAATATTATAGGCAGTGAGTCAGGGTTGGGCCCTCAAAGGAGCCAGTAAGGATGACAAGAGGCACCTTACACCTGTGGGAGGACCAGGCACCTCCACTGTGGGCCAGACCTCTAGACAAAAGATTAAACAAATGCACCCACATGCCTCCCTAGGAATGGATGTCAGGGGTTGATATTCTACATACATGTCAATCACCTTAAAAAAGCCAGGAAGTCACTGGCCGAACTGCCCACAGGAGAAGCCCTGTTCTGTGTTCATGCCTGCTTGCTACGTGAATGGGTTTCCCATTTGTTCCCAAGTTAATCAATTTTACCTGAGCAACTGTACTAGTAATCTTATTGCTTGGTCATAGTTTTGTCCAACCCCATGCCCGCCTAATTCCCATGTTTGCCCCCTTGATCCCACTTGAACTTGTGGTTTTGCTCTATAAAAATACCTACGAAAGGCAGATTCTTTGGCAACCCAAAGAACCTTCTGTTTCTCTCTTGGACCAAAGCTTTCTTTCCCCAATAAATATATTCTGTTCTTAACCTCCATTGTTCCTAAAATTCATTCCACAATTTTAGAGAACACAAACTCATCCCAGATATCTTTCAGATTGTGAGTTTCTTTCCCCTATATCACTATGATCACGTAAACCTGTACGTTTAGCAAGATTTTAAAGATTTTTCAGGCTGTTTGGTCCAACACTACTGCTAGTTTATGACCATTAGGCTAGACATATTCGAACACTTTCCAGCTCTTATCATTCTCTCTTCTAGCACTGTAAGAGTCTATGTTCTTTCAATTATTTCTTTGGTTTATGATGAAAGCAAAAGAGAGAGAACAGACTCAAATCTCAGCCCCAGCTCTTATTGCTAAGTGATCCCAAAGTCACCTGATTTCTATAAGTGGTAATGAGAAGTGACACCGCCCGAATCACAGCATGGCTGGGTCGGTTAACTGAGAAGATGTGTGTTGAGAATCTACTGCAAGCCTGACACAGAACATGTTTTAACGGCTCGCTTTTTCCCAACTTTTTTGGTCTTCCAGTGTCCTGAGCATTGCGTATGAGTCTGGGCAAGTTAGTTGTGGGTTCTAGAGTTAGCAAATCTGGCTCTGCCATTTATGGGCTGCGAATCCTCAGCACATGGCTAAGCTGTCTCAGTTCCCCCTTCTGCAAAGAGAAAAAAGTGCTCTGAGTTGTGACAGTTATGGGAGATAAAGTCAAAAAAGGCAGCGGAATGCCTGGCTGACGGCAAGAATCCATTGCGCTGTACAGAGTCCCCCCACCCCCAGCCCCCACCCCCACTTTTATTTCCTCAGCCTGAGGGAAAGCAAACCTACTGTTAGCTTGGTGTCCATGGTGCTGAGGAGCAAAAGACCAATGTGGCGGGAACTCGGCCACTAGCTTGAAAGAGTTTCAGCTCGGCTCTAAGTGTAACCTTTCCCTCAGTTGTAATGATGGGAAAATAACTTAAGGCCATCAGCACTGCCCCAGCTTGGCCCCAGTTCTGGGGATTGAATTTAGGACCTTCATACTGAGCTACGTCCCCAGTCCTTTTTTATTTTGACACATGGGGTTGCTAAGTTGCTAAGCTGAGTTGCTAGGCTTGAATTTGAGATCCTCCTGCCTCAGTCTCCCTGAGTGCTGGTAGGATAGGCCTGTACCACATGCCAGGGAATTTTACTACTTAAGAACATAATGGGGCCAGCGAGACAGCTCAGCAACCTAAAGCGCCTGCTTAGACAAGCTTAGGCAGGTGTAGGGGACTGTGGTTCGATCCCCAGCACCACACGCCCCACCTTCAGGGCAGGCACGCACGCGCGCATGCACACACACACACACACACACACACACAGAGAAAGCAAATTTACTCATCTTCAGATTTCCAAAATTTAAAAATCTAGAAATCCTATATACTTAGCAGACAGAACTCCATATACCATTTTTAAATTTACAATTTAAAAAATACCATTCTAAGTGATCTCCCCAGATTTGTTTTTTTTTAGACAGCGTTGGTGGTAGACAGTGCACGCTGCCCTTAAACTCATGAATCTCTGCCCTGCCTCAGTCTTCCAGCTGGCTAGGAGTACAGGTGTGTGCCACCATTCCCGGCCTAGCATTTTAAATTTGCATTGCTTTTCATCTTTTTAAGTAGAAAGTAAAGCCATATCCCGTGATGCTCAGTCTTTGCTAGCCTTTTGAAATCTATGCATCTTTCTGCTTGCTTGAAAGCTTTATTCCACTAGCGACCCATGTGAGAGTGTCGGAAGAACGACAAGGGGAAGGAGAGGGAAAAGCACCGTGTGGCCTGGGCCTGCCTCTCTCAGACACACTCAGAAGACAGAGGCAGCAGGCAGCAGGGCCTTCACCCAGCAAAACCCGGGAGGCTCCCGACACCTCCTCCAGGGCCCATGCATGCGCTCTGATGTCCTCCTGAAGGGTCCTGGCTCCTCACGGCTCTGTTTCTACTTCTGAATATATGATCCAAGTGAAGGCTTGCTTTCAACTGGTAAAAACAACAGGCCCAACAAATGACGTGCTCTGTTGTCAAAAATGCTTGCGGTGAGGCACAACTACAACGGGGGAATGACCTTGAGTTTAAAGCTCATGAATTAAATCTCGTGAATTTGGTATCCACATGATGATGTATTCCAGCTGGGATTTCTGATACACTATGGAAAGTGGGCTGGGAAGCAACAGAAGTTTAGAACCCAATGCCCAGCTCTGAACAGCACTTCTCTGTTAATTGTTCACCTAGACTTCTTGTGACAGCTCTGGGAGAATAACTCAGAGCACAGAATTAGAGGTTGGGCCATGCAAAATCTCTTTGCTGTAAAAGAAATATCTACATATTAACAATTAAAATAATCTAAGAGTTTTAATTTATCTGTGCAAAAAGAAGTTAACACAACAGGCCTGAGGTTATCCTTGTATATACTCTCTTTCCCTCTCCCCCCCCTCTATATATACACATATATGCATATATATTTATTCATTCTTTACATGTATTTAAATTTACCTGCTAAGAGTATTCATATTTGAATCATAAATATTAAATATTTTATCCAAAGTTATTTATGGAATTTGCAATAGAATAAGAAGGAAATAAAGCAATTCTATGATTCCTAGTGACCTTTCTTATATGAGAGACAGAGAAAGAGACAGAGATGGAGACAAAGAGAAATCAATCA